CATCCTTTTCTGAATCTGGCCTGAATTTCTGGCGTTTCCCTTTCAACATACAGTATATGCAATTTAAAAAATTATCTTCAGTAAAAGTTTGCTTGCATGTGATATTAATAATATTATTCAATGATTTCCATATTCCCTTGAGAATCCTGTCTTTGGAATGGGCTCTTCCAATTGATTGGCTAAGTAATCGTCTTCCATATTTCTTGGCATATATGAGTGAGTGACTTTAGTGCTATGTCAGTGTGCTGAAAGATTTCAGTTTGTATTCCATTAACTCCTGGAGCCTTCTTTCAGTTCCTTCAGTATAGCTTAGACTTCTTCCTTCGGTACTTTTGGTTCTTGATCATATGCTATCTCTTACAGTGGTTGATCATTGAACATTTCTTTTTGGTACATTGAGTCTGTGGATACCTCCCATCTTCTTTTGATGCTTTCTGTATCATTCAGTATTTTCCCCATGAAATCCTTTAATATTTCGAGTCAAAGATTGATTTTTTTTCTTCTTCAGTTCTTTCAGCTTGAGAAATGCTGAACATATTCTTCCCTTTTGGTTTTCTGACTCCAGATCTTTCACATTTCATTATAATTCTTGACTTGGTTTTCTCAAACTTCCTTTTGAAATAGTCTGTTCAGCCATGTTGCTTCATCATCTCTTCCATTCACTGTAGCATCTTTATCCTAGAGAATAAGTTTCAGAATCTCTTCTGACATCCATCTGGGGGTTTCTTTCTTTCTTTCCTGTTTTATTTTTTTACTTTACCAAGTTCTTGATGTCATTCCACAGTTTGTCTGGTCTTAGACAATTAGTGACTAAAGCATCAAATATGTTCTTGAGATTCAGGTAGCAGCTGTTCAAGTTATATTTTGACTCTCATGGATAGTTTTTATTTTCTTTAGTTCTTAAGTTTCCTTCTTAAGTTTGTAAACTTGTATATCGCCTGTTCCACAGTTGGCCCCTGGCCTTATTTTGGCTGATGATATGGAGCTTTTCCACAATCTCTTCCAACAGACATAGTCAAGTTGACTTCTTTGCATTCCATCTGGTGAGCTTCATGAGTATAGTTGGCATTTTATGTTTTTATTTTTTTTTAAAGGCAATTGCGCTTTCTGACCTTGGATCAGAAAGTACTGTGCCATCATGTCTGTGCTGACACCTCTGCTGCTGCGGGGCCTGATGGACCAGGTCAGGTGGCTCCTGGTGCTGCACGTTCACATCTACTCTGAGCCTCCACAAGAGCAGCTCAGAAACGTAGATTATGTCATTGGACCCACCACCTGCTTACTGTGTTTCCTAATGTTATTAGGCTGGGTCCTGTCTTACCTGGAGAGCTACAAAAAGCAGGAGTGAAGGGGACAGCCCTCTCCTGCACTCTGCACCCTGACCTCTCCCCACATCCACCTGACTCATCCTTGCCCATCTGATTATGTCTCCTACATTCTAGACCAGCCAGCCCTGGATCTTGTCCTTCATTACTGCAATCATGACCTTTCCATGCCTCCATGGTGACATCCTAGGACCACGGCTTAATAAGGCCTGTTTGGAGGAACCACTACTTGTACCAATAAAATCTAATGAAACTTTTGTTTTTGTTTTTGTTTTTTTAAAAAAAGTATTTGCCATGAACATGATTGTCAGCATTATTTCTAACACCAAGGCCATACATTCCAACTATTGTTCTTCCCTCTTTTTTCTAACTTTGCATTCTAATCACCAGTAATTATCAATACATCTTGATTGCATATTTGATCAATTTCAGAATGAAGAAGTTAGTAGGATTCTTTCATTTCATCATCACTGGCTTTAGTGGTTGGTGATAAATGTGCATGATCGTGGTATTAACTGGTCTTCCTTGTAGGCATTTGCTTATTATCCTACCTCAGACAGCATTGTACTTCAAGATAGATCTTGAAATGTTCTTCCTGATGATGAATGCTCTGCAATTCCTCTTCAATTTGTTGTTCCTGCCATAATAAACCATATGATTGTCAGAATGAAAATAGTCAATGCCAGTCCATTTCAGCTCACTAATGCCTAAGATATCAGTGTTTATGAGTTCCATTTCAGTATTTTACAACGTCCAGTCTTCCTAGAGTCATATTTGTGCATTCCAAAAATTCTGATTATTAATGGATGTTTAGAGATGTTTCCGCTCATTTTGATTTGTGCCTCATTTGCAAATGAAAGTTCTGAAGCTTTATTCCATTGTGTTACCATGGTCAACATTACTTTGAGAAGTCTTCCCCTGTCATATGTTGACTGGCGTCCAACCAGATGGGCTCATCTTCTGACCCTATATGTGACAATATTCCACTGCTGCCCATATGTTTTTATCTTCTACACTATATCTGAAATGTTCTGCTGCTGCTACTCTTAAAGTTTTCAGTGGCTAACTATTCAGAAATAGTCTACCTCTTCTTCTTCCTAGTCTGTCTTAGTCTGGAAGCTCAACTAAAACCTGTCCACTGTAGGTGACCGTGCTGGTATTTGAAATAGTGGTGGCATAACTTCTGGCATCACAGCAACATGCAAACTACCACAGTAAGGCACACTGACAGATGAGTGGTGGAAATAAACCATGTTCAGCGTTATTAGGCTTACCTGTAGATTTTTTTTTTCATTGACATAAGTTTTCTTTTTCAAATGTTTTATTGTGAATTATGTGATAGTTTACATGGGAGAACATTAGCTTTACATTCATCCTATCGTATGTTGTTTCGTTGCCATGGTTACAATGCCCTCCATGCATCATCAACCAACCAAAGTATATACCCTGCAAGCCTACTTCTCTGTCATCATCACACAGACCCTCTTCCTCTCTGGGGCTAGAGTCCCCAGCTGCTCTATCTCTCCATGTCATTATCTCTGCCTCCATCTCTGGCATCACTGCTTCTCTGGGTAAGGTTTTGCACTCCACTCTTCTCCCTTAATGGTCCCAGGGACCTCTGCTCCTGTGCTGCAAAGTCAACCACTCCCCTCCTTTTGCTACAAAACATCTACCTTTACATTTCCAACCCTCACAGTCAGTCCTGATAGCAATTATTCACTATTGCACCACAAGAGTCCTATCCCCATCTCCTTTTATCAACCCCGCCCAGACAGATTGGAGAGTACTCAATGGAGATTCTACTCCTCCGTGCCCTATGGATCTAGGTTCCTACTTGTAGATTATTAAACATACATCTTACTGAAAAGAAAATGCAGATAGAATATTTTAAATCAGTGGTTTATTTTAGAAGGCAGACATAATAGTATTGTCTGGGCATTCTGAAAGAAAGTTTTTTTTCAGTTATTAAACAGCTAAAGAAGCTAGTATTTATAAATGCAAGCATTAAGAAAATGGTAAATTAGAGCCTCAGAATTAAGCATCTGGCTAAAAACTGACAGTTACCAACACTCCTGACGATCAGTCACAGGACCTCAGAGCCCCAGGGAAATCTGACTCCTTATGCTTGCCCTCTTGAGCAACCTATAGCACAAAATGACAGTCATGGTTTCCTGAAGGTACAAGTTTTTTAACCCATCTTCTTCACACAAAGATTGTAACTGTGAAAAGTGCATGAGCTTACAATTGCTTTAAGCACAAAAGTTAAGTTCTTAGGAGCCATTTTGGATTTTTTAATTGTCGCGTTTCCATACCCAAAGACTAGGTATGAATTAATTATTTAAATTTTTTCTGTATATGCAACAGGTATTGTTATACACATAAGAAACTTTGAAAAGTCTGTTCATGATATCCCTTTGCCAGAAATTTAGAAATATTGACATCATCATCATTGAACAAGTATTCAGTATCTCTTGGAGCATGATGACGTATCTTAATAGGCAGATCCCATGCATTAGTGGCATAACCAGTAGGATGTATGGATTATCAGATAATCCCCATTTGAGCACTAGTTGAGTCATTTGTGAGACTTATTTTTTTAGGTGTCTTTGAATTTTAGTTATTTCCACCAGTACATGGAGATTGTTCATACCAACTTTAGTTTGTGATGATTGTGATGTGACAATCATTGTGATGTGATGTCTTAGGTAAACTGTAAAGTTCTATACTTGGTATGGCAGGGGACTTTTATAGGCACAGTTGAAAAGCATGCAGTCGAGGTAGAACTGAACTTTCGCATGCATTGACTTACATTGTGCACAAGCAGATGCAAACACATGATAAACAAAAACAAAGGCTATTCGTTTAAATGTAATAGTTTGTAGTCAGTAACACAATTCATAGCTGAGGAGAGAGCATAACTTATTTGCTGATTGAATAAGAAAAAATGTGGAATTTGGAGCCTTGGGAAGACCTCTAAAGGGAAACTATGAGTTATAGAGGAGAAATAATTGAGAAGGATGAACAAACAGAGAAGACTAAGAGGTAGGCTCTTTGGAATAAGGCATGAAGATCCTAGTAGATCAAAGGCAAATCTTCACATTCCATGTTTATACTGTGGGAGACCTTTTGTGCTGCAGATGGTTAAGCATTGGGCTACTCAAGGAAGGCTGGTAGTTGATACTCATCCAGAGGCACCTTGGAGGACAGGCTTTGTGACCATCATCCAAAAGGTCACAGTCTTAAAAATCTCAATGGAGTACAGTTCTTCTCTGCACACATGGGGTCACCATGAGTTGGCATCAACTAGGTGGCAACAGGTTATAGAGGAGACAGAGCTTTAGTGCTTCTTTTGACCTCACCACTCCTAGAGACCATTTCCTCTCATATTTCAATGGGATAGATCCAGCTCTATGGTTCCATGTGGACCCATATTGAAACTGATTTCCATGTTCTACTGAATATCCTCAGACTCCTGCATGGAGGTGTCAAGCCTGAGAGCTTAGACTTGAATCTCAACTGGCAGCAGAGTCTCCACTGGAATAGAGAGTTAGTACTATGGAAAATTGAAGTCTGTAAATATCTTTATTTCTCTTGTTGTGCTTTGTGTGTGTGTGTGTGTGTGTGTGTGGTTATTGCTGTTATATTGTTTGTTTAATTGAGTCCTTGAGATCTAAGGCTCATATATGTCATAATTACATCCACTGAGCCCCAAAGAGGCCCTCCTTTCTAAGTTTATACTAGGGAAATCAGTCTGCAGTTGGAGAAGTGGTATCACAAAACAGTATTTAATTAAATTGATCAGGTACAATATGTGGATGTTTATTTAATAAATATTAAAAGACTAAATCAAGGAATGAGTTTATGATATGACTCTGCAACTGGAAAAATTATAAAAAATTCCCCACTGGCGAAGTAACAAATAGTACTCATTACTGGGAGAATGAAATGTTACCTCTCTCAGAGGATTTAGATTTTTCTAAGTGGCATTTTTTTTTAGCATCTATAACCCTATTAAACCCTGTTATTTTCTTCCTAATTTGTGTCATTTAGAAATGATTTTCATTTAACATTCCCATGGCTCATTTCTCTCCTTCAGAACATTTTCAAATGATTCCCTGGTAAAGTCCATGCTTTAACACGTTTCCATTATAAAACAATCCTAAGCACCAACTAAATAGCAATATGTAATAGCCTGAACATAAAGGACTGACAGGAGACAAAATTGGGCATCTGGCTGGTTAATTTTTATTCTTGAATGGCCTGCTGCTTCTTTGCCTTTTTTTTTTTGGTGTTTTTGATTCTGTGGGTAAGGCTCCTTGCCTGGTGGACAGGGCTGTAAGGAGGCAATTCTCACAATACTGAAGGGAGGACAGCTATTCCATCCCATAACACAATCATCAAGTGGCACCTCTGGAGGATAGAGTGATTTTTATTCTGCACCCAAGCCCCATAATGGAAAGAAAAGGTTTTCATTTTTGTTCCCACGTTTTGTTCTTTGTGCTTTATAAAATGCTACTTACGTGTTCTGTTGAGTGGTTCTCTTTTCTCTAGAGAATTAAATGAGGGCCATTTAGTAACCTGAATCTCCACAAAAATGAGTTTCCATTCAACAAATACTTAACGGAACACCACTACCCTTCCACCAATGGCTTGAAAAATATAGATGACATGAAAACAGAGTCCCTGCCTGCATACTTCTCACAAGGTTGTGTTTGTTTATTCGTTTGGCTCTGTTTTGAACCAGACACACAGACACCAGTGGTCCAAGTCTGACTCTTGGAATACCAGAAATATATTTAGGTGTGGAGAGTGCAAGGTGTGTTCCCCTGAGCATAATCTCAGTATTTTTTAAGGTAGACATGTGGTAATTAAGACTTTGGTGAGAAAAAGAGATAAAGGTGGTCTAAGAGAATAGAAGACATTGAAAGAAAGAGTCAAACTGAGGACTTTTAGAAGTGTTTGCTCCTCAGCAACCCACGTTAAACTCTAACCACCGAGACTGTTCTAGCCCCAGGAATGTACAACCTGATATTATAATTGTTCTGCTTCAAACTGGTATTGTGCCGGGTGCCAAAGAAATGACACCGGGGTCCTCTGAAAAGTTTTGTGGAGAAGATAGAATTCATGTTGGTTTTAATGGGAAGGTGAGAAATTGTGAGCTAGTATGGACAGCTTGAGCAAATGCACGATGGCAGACACACACAAAAATAAAAAATTCCATGTGACTGGAAAATCTTCTTTAGGAGGTATTAATTTTTATACTATTAATCAAGAATATGGGTCAATATCTTCCTACTGTTTTAGGATAGAAAAGACTCCAAATTCCAATGTATTTTATAAAAGCCCTTTTATTAAGTCTTAAACAGGACATAGACAGAAACAGACAACCCGGATGAAGAAGACCATCAGGGTCAGGCCGTAATGGTGTCCCAAGTACTCACCTCCACTAGGCTTATTTATAAGGCACAGAGAGCAAAGAAACTCAAACCATGACTGGCAACAGATCAATCTGTTACTGCCCTAGGCTGGACTCCAAAAGCTTGAAGGGGACTGTTGATGATCAGGAAAGCTTACAGGAATGGCTCTCAGATCCTCAGGATATGACTCATTGCCTTGTGACCCCAGTACCGCAGTTTCTATTAAAGGGTACACCCAGGCAAGGCAGTGAGAGGTAGACTGCCCCTCCTTGGGCTGGCTAAGGGAGTAGTCTTAATCCAGCTTCAATTCTCATCTAGGGAACAGACAAAGTCCTAGTGTGGCATTGCAGGATAAGCACTAACCCCAAGGTCAGTGATTCAAACCAACAAGCATTTGGAAACCCTATAAAGGGTCACTATGAGTCAGAAGCGACTCTAGGTATTTAACAACTTAATGACAAAGCCTCTTCCTGACTTTTGTGGTTCAATTGTCAGAAGTGTATAAAGTATTCAAGATGGCATCTGAACTTAATGTCAAGGCTCCAGTTGAAGCTAGGACTCTGACCTCTGGCCTTAGCCTTCTGCAAACTTGTTGTTGTTGTTGTTAAGTGCCGTTGAGTCGGTTCCGACCCAAAGCGACCCTGTACAGGGTTTCCGAGAGTGTAAATCCTTACGGGAGTAGAAAGCCTCATCTTTCTCCCGCGGAGCGGCTGGTAGTTTCGACGCTACCAGAGCTCCTTAACTAGATGTGTTAAATTTCATAATCTAAGGAATACTGCTGTGGTGCTGTAGGATAAGCTCTAGACTGTAAACCACAAAGTTGGCTGTTCAAGCCCACCAGCTGCATTTCAGAAACCCTGCACAGGGTTGCTGTTAGTCAGAATTGACTCAACCATCACTTAATAACAACGCACTGCACAATTTAGGTTCCTGTCTCCCAGTAACTTGTCAATGTAGGTTTCTACTCTCTTATGGAGTTCTGATATGGCACTATAGAAAAAACACTGGACTACTAGCCACAGGTTGGTGATTCAAACCCATCAGCCAGTCCTTGGAAATCATATACAGGGTCATTGTGAGTCAGAACCAACTCGATGGTACTTAACCACAACAATAACTCTATTATAGATTGCTGAGCCTAAAACAAAAGGAATAGAATTGCTGTGTGAAAAGGTGGTCAAGATTTACCTACAATAAAGGTAAACGCAATTAAGGCAGTTTTTTTTGAACCGCAAGGCTTTACATGGGAGGGGGAGTGTGATCATGTAAGCTCTGGTTAGTACTGAGATTATTATTAACTGGCATGGAGTCAGATCTGACGTGGGACACCCCAATGTACAACACAACACAACACAAACTTTACCCGGTTCTGTACCATGTTCATGATCATTGGTCTGCTTGAGTCCACTGATGCAGCCACTGTGCATTCTGAGTGTTTACTAATCAATCATCCTCATCTTTCCACATTACATTCAGCAATATTCTGTTGTAGTCCATATTTCCAGTATTTCATTGGTTAATTATCAGAAATGGACTGCCAGATCTTTCTTTGTAGTCTGTTTTAATCTGAAAATACACCTGAAACTTGCCCACTGTTATTATCCTGCTGATATTTGAAACACCAATGCCATAACTGCCAGCATTATAGCCACATGCTAGCCACCGCTACACAACAAGCTGAAATCAGAGAGTTTATTACATCAATTTGTTCTCTGATTTGTGCATGAGGTGTTTGAGAAATAACTTTTTAAACAACTTTTTCACCATTTCTATATTTGTCTAATGTGCTTTGGTAGAAATACCTTCTTGTGTCCCATTTGAAAGCTCAAATGTTGTTGTTGTTATTGTTGTTAGGTGCCATTGAGTTGACTCTGACTCATGACAATGCCACACACAACAGAACAAAACACTGCCCGATCCTATGGCATCCTCAGAATTGTTGCTGTGTTTGAGCCCATTGTTGTTACCGCCATACCAATCCTTCTCACTGGGTTCTCCTTCTGTATCGCTGCCCGTCTACTTTATCCTTTTCTCGGGACTGGCTCCACCTGATTACATGTCCAAAGTACAAGAGATGAAGTAGTTCTGTGTTCCCTTCCAAGGAGCATTCTTGCTGTACTTCTTCCAAGACAGACTTTTTTTTTTTGTTCTTCTGGCAGTCAGGGTCCTTTGAATATTCTTTGCCAGCACCACAGTTTAATGTATCAATTCTTCCCCTGTCTTCTTTATTCCAGTGTCCAGCTTTCACATGCATATCAAGTGATTAAAAATGCCATGGCTTAGGTCAGGTGCACCTTAGATCTCAAAGTAATATCTTTATTCTTAAGTGCTATAAAGAATTCTCTTTCAACAGATTTGAGTCCCATATGAAAATCTAAACTATGCTTAAATTGTCTGATAGATTTGGAAGAATTCAAATTTCTTGAACTCGTTGAATACTTAAATTTCCAATGTGAAGTCTAGTCCGTTAACTCCTCAGCTGTCAGCTCATTTTTCCTGTATCTGTTTTGCTGAGGTCATGTCTTTTCACTTTATAGATTTTTCTCTTACCTTTAACATCCTGTAGGTTTTTTGGGCAGTCTTTTCTAATGTAGATGCTGGCTCCTGACCCTTTCATTCTGTTCTTGTCAGCATTCATAGCATGGAATGTCATTCTTTTATTACTTAATTCTTTACTTTCCTAACACCCATTTTCACTTCTCATTTCCCAACTCTTTTTGTATTCCCCTCACATTTTTTTTTTTTTTTTCACTTTGTGGTTTCTTTCATCTTTGTGCACTCTACATGAGACAGCTAAATAGATCCCCACAGTTAAAAATAGTTTCTGGCTTGATTTGGGATGCCTAAGATGTAGTCTCACCAGTAACCTTTTCTCATCTGATTCCCACCTAACCTGATGACAGCACTCCAGTCTTGTTCTCTGATTGTCCCATTACACAGTGCTGACCTTTGGATTGAGCCTGCATACAGTGTCACTGTGTGGATAGCACTGCCTAGTCATCATTGACAACTGCATGTATTTAAAAATCCAAGAGGAGATTATATTCTTATTTTAAAGGAAATGCATTAATTTACTCATTTGGCAAAAAGTGTGACTCACTCATATCAAATGTCTATACTAAAGTCATATTTGTGATCTAGAATAACATACTACACAATGGGACAGCTTTTCATTTTCTTACAGAGAACTATGTTTCAAATTGGGGGAGATACATTTAAATGATGCCTCCTAAAGGAGTCCTGGTGTGGCACTGCGGGTTAATGTGCTGGACTGCAAAGTCACTTTGAACTCAAGGTCGGCAGTTCAAGCTCACCAGCTGCTCCTTGGAAACCCTATACAGGGTCACTATGGGTCAGAACCTACTCAACAGCACTTAACAACAACAAAGGCAGACAAACTCTCTGTACTGCCCATTGTGATACAAATTTAGAGACAACTTTCACAAACAAATGCATATGAAGTGCCCTAAGAATTCATTTACTGTACTCATTGATTTTACCATAAAACTGTAAATATTCATAGTCAGTAATGGTTCATAGCCACTAACAGTTTAGCAGTCTTTGTTTTGTATGTTTGTGTTTTAACTGTGCTCTGAAAATATTCTACAAATAGCTAGATTCATATAGAGCCGCATTGCCCAGGAGGCTAAATGATTGCCTGTTAGCACTGTTCATTTGGGAGCACAAAAAGAAATTTCTGTGCAAATAATACCACTTTTCTCATGCATTCTAAGAACCTCTTATATTTAAAAGTAAATTTTCCTTATATGTATTTGTTTCAATTGACATCTTAAAGCACATCTGAGAATGCAATATAGCATATAATTGAGGACTAGACCATCTAATAGATGCAGTGCAGGCTCTTTGAGGAAATGAAATGATAATGGAATTCCTTTTCTTGGTGCTAGGAAATGACTGTCCTTTCTGTTCTTCTGTGAAGGCATAACACCATATTTTAGTTGAATTCCCCTGTATGCTTCTTTAGGCAAGTCAGTAAATTCAGAGACGCCAACTGTATCTTGCTTTTTTGGAATATAATTTGACTGTTTGGGCTTGAGTATAGTTTCTTGGGTTATATTAGGCAGGCATAACTAAAAGATAGGCTACTTTTCTATAACTCAGATAATTCCATGTAATTTCTTTTTCCCTTTCCTGTTCTTGACAGGTGCATGAGGCAGTCCCATGCTACAGTGAGTGCAATCAATATTCCTGGGTTGTAGAACACTGGTCTCCATGCAAAATCAACAATGAGCTGAGGTCCCTGCGATGTGGAGAAGGAACCCAATCTAGGAAAATCAGGTATGTGTAAATGGAGACTTTGGGGCATTGGGAACAATGGAATGTAGAGGTAGTTTTTTTAAAAAAATAGAAATTACACAGGATAAACAGAAGCTAAGGGATTTTGCCAAAGCCAATCCTGCTATGAAAAACCTCCTAAAAGTTCTGTGGCCTGAGAACCAACAAGAGCAGACAACAACCAGAGAATGACATATGTGGCAGCATCACCCTGAACTCAATCAACAAATGGAAGAGTCAAGAACAGAATAAAATTATAAGAACAGAGGATCTG